ACTGATTCATTTACAGTAAGTAAGTACAGTAGGTAATTAAGTTACGCAATGCAGCACAAACAAACAGGCAGGGAACTTATAGGTAAAAGAAACAGAGGTGGGGGGAGGGAAGAAAATCAAAGAAAGCTGAGAATGAGTTTGTAAAAGTCAGAAAATACTGAGGCAACATAGTAAAGACACCGCATGTTCCCCGGGGAACCATCCTGGTTATCAAGTAGAGGTTATTATGCTATGAAGCACTAATGAATTCATTAGCTAAATGAAATGTCAATAAAGGCTTGAGAGAGTGTTAAAATCGATGCCAACTGTCTTGCTCTCCGCCTCTCCCTCCTCTTTCTCTTCATCCTATCTCACCCCATCTGTCCCAATTATCCACCTTTCTCCCCAACACACGCTTGTGCGCACACTCTCTCCAGAGTGTTGAGTGTAAACTGTGATGGAGGACATTAGTGGTGATCAGTGGGAGCACTTTGCAGTGGTCAGCAGGAATGGTCCAGTCATACAGGACTTTAGTATTCAGCAGCACTCACCTGCTCACTCTCAAACTGCTCCTCTAGGGCCTGATGGCTGAGTTAGTGTGTGTGTGTTTGTGTGTGTGTGTGTGTGCATTAACAGCATGTGAGTGACTGCACCATTAGGGGCCTTGACTCTAAAATAGCTTTTCTGACAACACTCAACAACTCTATAGCCGCTTTTAAGCTTGTATCACAAAAAAACCCCCTTTTTATCTTAAACTCACATTGAACTAATCCCTTTCTTTCTGACATTTGTCGCACTTCATAAATGTCAAGACGATATTACCAGCTTGATTGTCCCCTGGGAGTTCTTTGATACTAAGCCTGTATCACTTATTATTATGATCATCATTTAAAACGCACAAAGATTCCTGGGTATCGTGTTTACAGCCGTGAGCAAATTGGCGCGCCAAATGGCAAACCAGTTGGCTCATCTCACCTCTGTCCCCTCATGATGGCTTAATATTTGTAGCTAAGTACTTGAGTCACTCCGAACATGACTGTGTTTTTGTGCAGCTAAATACTTGTTTCAAGATAATTGTTTAGGGCATATGTTTAAATGCCACCTCATTTGCATAAACACTGTTCAGCTCCCTGCGGAATCAATGAAAACACAAACGCAGTCACACACACATACACGCCGGCACTCACTTTGACACTGTGCTGAACAGCTGACGATTCATGTGTTTTCTGCAACGGCAGTGAAATATACATCAAAGTGGTCTTCAGTGGATGAGCAGTTAAGTATGCACACACACAAGGTTATAATATTCTACAGAGGGAGGGCTTCTAAAGGGAAATTGAGAGATAGATGGAAACGGGATTGGAGGATTGTCCACGATTGTCCACGATTGTACAAGAGATAGCAAAAGAAATGGAAGGGATGTAGGCTATCTGTTTGGATCTGTCTGATTTGAGGGGTGCATTAGGGCTGTATCTGTCCTCTTTGCACACACCTCTCCGTTGCTGCGTCTCTCCTCCTGTCCTCCCGCTATGCTGACACCAAGAACAAAAAATCTTTGAAGTGTTAATGAGAGTTTGAAGAATGACTCATCGCTGAAGATTAAGCGCTAATATACATATGGGAACCAAAATTTAGACACGTCCGAGAGACCTATCACAATGAGTAATTAGTGATGATAAAGTAGTAATGAGCAAAATCCCAATCTAGACATACTGCAGCAGTCCACAGAGACGCTAACTAAAAAACAAAGTCTTAACAAACACAAGTGGATTTGTTGTGGAAGAAGAAAGGGGAGGGGGGCTGTGTGTCGAGATGGCTTTTCTTTACCACTCATAGGTGCCTCGTCTTAATGTTGCATCGCCTTGTCAAAGTGAAGACACAAGACGTTACCCTCGACAAATCCCAGCTGTAATATCCTTTGTACTCTGCTGATCTAAGCTGAATCAAAGAGCAGCAGCAGATGTTGTGCTAGCTGGCATCTTCTACAATGGAGTGGACAGGAGCAAAAGATGCTGCTCTGCATGTCTTGAAGAGGTGTGTTAAGCTCACCCCCTGAAGGACTTTGCTTCACCTCACACAAGAGGTCACTTTTGAACTACTTGACCACAAGCGCTGCCTGTTTATCATGCTGACAGGCCCATAAATTGGGCCGTGTCTAAACTAATATGGATAAATCTGAAAGCAGATCTTTTTTTTGACCTTCCATACCTACTCAGCCAGCATTTTCAAAACACTGAAGACTTTCCACATGTGGATTTATCTACATTAGTTTGGACATGGCCTTGGAATTACATGTCCTTCCTACCATAAATGACACCTATTAATGTAAGCCTGCAGCTTAGAGAGATGTATTCAACATAATGTGAACATCTATTTTTACTTGCCTCTGTCCACATGGAGGTCAGCTATAGTTGAACCAGTAAGACCCCGAAGCTGGTATGGATTCAATTCATGTTTTGATCAAGGACACTTTATCGGGGTGAAGACTTAAATCCTGATATTCCTGCTGAAAGGGAATATTTTCAATTACTGCTGCTCAAGTTATTTTATTGAGTGGTTTCCTTTGATGGCATCTCTACTTTTTGATGATATTTAGACTAAAACGTTGTAAATTTGCATTTCAGCTGTATGAACTTCTAATTTCCAATGTCAGGTCTGATTTGACCCTTTAATATGACAATTCAACTACTTGCAATCAGTGACAATGTTTGCAAACAAATTTGCATGTATTTGGTTCGGATATTCCAAATTAGGTCTTCTAGCATTTTCCGAGTAAGACATGTGGTATATGCCAATATTATTCAGGTTTTAGGAGAATTCTTAAGAAGTTTACATTATACAAATCAGCTAGCCATCTATTTGCAAGGCTTGGGAAGAGATGCATGAGCAAAAGAAAATCCCGCATTTCTGGTAAGAAGGAGAAACACTTTTAAACATTATGAAAGACTTGGATATCAACAGGTTTTTGGATATGCGCAAATATTAACCATTTTGAGAAGGTGGTTACAAAAGAGGAAGACTGTGTTTCGCAAGGTTGAACAAATCACCCACCAGTGGTATTTTGAATACCCATCCCAATTTCCTAGTCCAAGATGAGGTCTTCCAACTGCTTGTTTTGTCTGACAGTCCAAAAGATTCACTCGATTATCAAAATAGTTGCAGACTGATTTTCTGTCAGTCACAAAATGTATTAATTGACTAATCATTTTAACTCTACATAGATACATGACACCATTCAATGGCTACTTAATGCTACTGACAGATTTTGTTCTGTTCTCAAAAGCTTCTTGGTTTCAATATTCACCTGTAACTGTAACTACATTTTAAATTTGACAAAAATTGAAAAGATGTGGCACATTATAATGGATTACCATTCTCAAACAACACCATCTCAGACAAGTGTCAAGTGTCTTCAAATTAGTTTTCATAACATGCTAAAATGGGCAGAAATTAGTGACTGTCTGAAAAGTAGGCAAATGCATTCATCAGTCTAAAAATGTAGATATGTCTAATATAGTCGGTTTGCTTCAAGTGCATCCAAATTAGGCTTGTTTCTGAGACAAGATGAAACTTGAGCATTTGATGATTGTACAAGGAGAAGAATAGGCTCTGAGACAGATGATTCAAATGATCACATTTAAAAGGGGAGCCCTAATTTGTAGAAAATTTAGATATATGCATACAGTACATATTGAGAATTTACAGTAATGATCTTGTTTAGCTTGTGGTCTTTTAGCCCATCTTGAAATAATGTGTGTGAGTTTGTGCAAAAGTTGCAAGTGTATTTGTTAATATGACTCTGTGCAGCATCTCTGTCAGTATGACTGTGTCTGCTCAACGCTGTTCGCTCATTCCCATCACATAGTGAGCGCGGGCCGAACATGACAGACTGGTAATGACTAGAGTACGAACACACACACACATACACACACATGCTCACACATAGACACTCATACACACATGCCAGCTGCTCCTTTCCTCCTTTCTCATCAAACTTGTCATCAGCTCCGCCAGTTTGTCTCGTCTCACATTAGGAGCTCATGAATAATGTGTGATTACCAGAGACCCTCCGAGCAGCTCCTGAATCTACAAAACACGCTACACACCCTAATTCACAGTCCAAAATATCATGTATATATTTACATGTTCTGTCAATTACTTTGCTTCTCTTTTAGCCTTGTTTCTCTCCCTCTCTGCCTATCTCTCTCTCTGTCTCACACACTCTTTCTTTGTCTCTGCAAGTGCACGCACGCACACACACACACACACACACACACACACACACACACACACACACGCACACAGCCAGATCCAGTTTACAAGTAAATGCCAGTTTGGTGGCTCAAAGGAACCACAGGCACCAGGGAAAGGTCATGGAGTTACCATACTAGGCTGGACAGGACACACACACACAATCACAGATGAACATACACTTTGAACAATGAACAATTACTCCCCAGGTAATTAGGGATATTTTCAGCTGGGCAACTCTTCGCCTCCTGAAAGCATTAATGTAATTTGATTTGTTTAATTCCTATAGGCCTGACAGAGAGAAGGAGGCATGGCGGGACAATTGCTTCATGGTTGGATACCCAATTTCTCCTAGGTTTAAAATATTCACATCTACTATCCTCTACCAAAAAATCTTTTTTTATGACTCATGAAAAGAAAAAGTAAAAAATCTCTACCTCTGTCATCCCCATCTTCCTTAGTAAAAGAGTGCCACTGGAACTAACTATGCTGTTGTTTTCTTATGCCCTGCACACATTGCTTACACACTTCAGGAACACTACAGCAACTTCCCATCATGACACTAATTTCCTAACCCCTAAAATGAACTAGCCCCAAGGAAAAGTGAATAAAATGTGTCTAAAATAGACTCTTTTTCAAGCTCAGTGACTCAAATGAGGTAATCCAACAACAAAACCACAAACCCTCACACTCTCTCTTCACAAACATGCGCGCGCGCACACACACGCACACACCTAGGGAAATCTACCAAGATCTGCAAGTTCTCCTACCGGTGAATCACTGGTTGCGGTTGGACACAGCGGTCCTCTGAAGACCCCCTTTACGCGTCGAAAGTGTCCATTGCTCAGGTGTGTTGAACTGATAACCAGGTAGTAACACGCGCTGCACGCCATCCCTGGGACCTCACGGGGCTTTGGGCCCATATGCCGGGCTCCTTTGCGTCGGGTCCTGAGTGTCGGTGGCGTCCCGGAGGGCGCCAATAGTCGGGTCCCGCACGGATGTTGCGCAGGTGAGAGCACGATGAGGCCGGTGAGACGGAGGATGTCTCACTCCTGTCCTCTGTTGGGAAGTGTGTGCCTGCATTTCAAAAGGGAGACAATGCTCTGCTTATGTGTTTGTGTGCATGAGAACTAAAAACAGAAACGGACAGAGAAAGACTGAGAGACAGACTGAGAGACAGGGATGTTATACTGACCGAGCTCTGCCGCTGGAGTCTGCGCTTGGCATGCTGTCGTCAGTCGGGCTTAAATAAATGAATGAGCGCCTGTGGAGTGCCAGAGGAATAGAGGAATCCATCCAGTCTCTGTTTCACTCACTCTCTCTCTCTCTCTCTCTCTCTCCTATTCACCCTCTGTGTAGGTCGAACCTCCTCTCTCTCTCTCTCTCTCTCTCTCTCTCTCTCTCTCTGTAGGCAATATCTTTGTCTTTTTTTTTTTACAGTCCACTGGTCCAGTCTGTAAAGTGTACGCAGCCTTGCCCAAGCAGCAGCAGCAGCACCCCAATTGGGGCTCTCAGTAAAGAAAAGGGGAGCAGACACTCTTGCAGGTGCGCTTCCGCTTCACGCACGTCGAAGAAGAGAGCAAAAGGAAAAAGAAACATCTGACCCTTTTCCTTCCCTTCTAATCTCTATTGATTGTAACCGGGTTTAAAATCACCCGTAATGCGAATGAAATTCCGCGGTACGGCGTGGGACGGGAAATCACCCGGAGCACTCCTGTAGGCTACTTATTATCTGGCTCCACCGCAGACAGGCAGAAGTGGTTCAGACTCTTTCTCAAGGAAGACTCTCTCTCTCTCTCTCTCCCTCTATGAGTGTGTGTCTGCCTCTCTTCTCGAGGGCTGCGCTGGACCAGACTCCTGTCTCCCATTTCTCCTTTCTTTCCGTTTCTTTTTCTCTTTTCTGGTTTTGTTATGCGAATGGAACAAGGAAAGGGGATAAACTTTATTTAGCCTATAAGAAGTATGTCACTATGCATGCTTTGAGAATATCTGTAAATGAGCCACCGACAACGTGTTTATGTCAATCTCTCTCACCCTCCCTCGTGTCTTCTGTCCCTCTCTCTTTTCCTTTGGAGGGCGTCAGATTAAAAGCGCCATGCTTTTACAAGGTCTCGGTATGGTCAGGGGAGAGGAAATCTCTATCAGTTGCAACCTTGGGGGTAACGATTTGATTACAGATAAAAGGCTCTTTCTCCGGGCTCGGCCTGTCAAACTGCGCCGGGTGCCGTCAAAGAGCAGCTCGGAACTGGCTGCAGCTGAGCCTCAGTCTGTCTCAACGGCGTATGGCGCTGTTCACCAACGCGGTGCTGAAACTATTAAACTGCGAGCACCCACAGCACTGCGCGGCGAGTCATGCATATTCAGCCCGGGATTAGGGTGCCTTTTGTGCTCAACGTCAACACTGAAAGCTACAGACAGCTCTGGGTTCTAGATGTAAACACGAGGTAAAAGGACACAGGGGGACAAGTCACAGCGTGGGTAGAGTCCACATTGCTTCTTTCTGCTGCTTTTAACTTGATGTGTGCAACCGCAAAGAGATATATCCATCAACTTAGCTTTCATTTTGTTATCAAGTTCAAGAGCTTTATTTAAGGCAGAACACCTGTCACTGTAGATGAGATATGTGCAACAGAAAATGCCTGACTGGGATAGGCTACCCTCCCACATCAACAGTCTTTAGATTTAATGCAGCTATCAATTCAGCTTTAGGTTCTTTAAATATCTTCCTCCAGTGACTAAATCAAAATAACAGAAAACTAAGGTGCAGCTGTTGTTTTGATGCACATAAAAAAAGGAACCCTAACCAAACTTTCTTTTTATCATATTTTATCAATCTTTCTTTTATTCAACAAACACCCGAAGGACACCTTGCAAAAAAAAACTTTTTGGTTTCTATTACTGCTTCTGAGGCAATTGAACTTCCAAACACTTCTAATACAAACACAGCTGATCCCTGTGCTCTTGCAGCTTTTGCAAACATATTATGCTCGACAACCTCCTACTCTTTATAAAACTGTTGCTCCTCTGCAACCTACTCGTTCTCTCATTCTGCAGCATTTTCCTACACTTTGCCAAGTTTCTGTCCAGTCCTCAGGGCCAGGTTCCTGCCACTTTGCAGCCCTCTCAAACCATGGCCCTTTTTGATGCCTGCATCACTACATGAATTAGCCTCAGAGCTATGCTATTCAAAGCAACATTGAATTTTGGTTTTGATCTGTTATGACTGAGAGAATGTATGATGGTGCTGTTATCTGCATGCCCTCGTACATGAGAGGCACTTTACATGTTGCTTTAAACTATTATGGTGACCCACTCTGGTTTCTCAGGAGTCTGTGGACAGGTGTTCCCCTGTGATGGATTTCCCCTCTGCTTTAATGGTCGGTGGAGTGTACCATGGCTGTGTGTGATGTTGTGAGACAGAGAGAAACATATATAGAGAAAACATGTGTCACAGTGTGTCCAGAGACCATGCGTGTGTTTGTATGTGCCTGTTCTTAGATCTTAGGTCTTTTAGTAGGTTGAGCTCTTCTGAAGGGACCTCAACAACATCCCCTCTTTTTAGTAAGCCTGTTTCTAGTGACTGAATAAACATAATATAGAACAGGAGAACACATATTTTAAGATACAGAAAAATCTAACCTTGGGTTTCTTAGTTTATAGATCTACTTTTATTAAAATTTGAGTTTTCTGAATTCTTTGTGAAGCAGATATTGGCCTAGAACTCCCAGTTAAGTGCTAAGTGCACAAAACCTTTAGGGACATCTTTCAGATGTTAAGTTACAGGCTTCTTGCACATATCACATCTCAGTAATCTCAAAGTGTTATCATGAAATCATCATTTTTATTACCTCTTATCTCTGTGATTGGTATGAATTTAAAAAGGGAAGTCTGTAAGAAATATAGTTTCTACCTATATACTATTTTGTATTAATATGTTTCATGTCCGCAGCTACTTTTGAGGACACAGGGGTCTTGTCATATTTTTCTGTGAATCTTGTGGGTTTTAGGAACCTGGGGCGAGTTTACATTCTACATTGGTGGGCATTATACAGGTTGATTCCTGTATTTTCTTAACTAAATGTATCTAATACAATAAATAAATAAATACATTTCCCTAGCAGACATGTGTTCCAGACACTGTGCAGGATCGCTGTCCAGTGAACGCCTTGTAGCTCCATCTCTGGGACATTTAGAAATTCATTAAATCTGATAAATGTATTGTCGCCAAGCTGAAATCAGGACTGTTTTTCTTAACCCTTGGAAAGTTGGCCATACATGGTTTTCTCAGGACAGATGCTTTTACGTGGGGAAATAAAGTTTTCAGACAATATAACTGAAGAGATCACTGAAAAATTACAATTAAAAAGTTGTGATTTAAGTTTTAGTGTCTGAGCAAGATTTCCTGAGGAAAGGAGGTACTTAGACTTCAGTATTTCTAAAATGCTGGCTACAGCCCTGTTGTGCTGATCATGTATGTTTGCACGAGCCTGTAGGTCTGCATGCTCTGAGTACAGCAGTTTTCCTCTGTTTATTGGACTCCACTCTCTCCAGTGATGTACTTTCTGTTAAGCTGTCCAGGATCTTTTGCCAGTTCATTGCAACCCTGAGGGTCAACAGTGTGTATTTATACGTGTGTAAAAGTGTGTGGCTGTTTACACTGTACTGATGCTGATCTGTCCCAATGGCCAGCATCATGAGCCTGTCGGTTTCCTGCTGCTCTGCAGTCTAAACTCTAACATCACCCCGTCGCTCCAATATCCTCCTGCAACCACCGGGCTGAACCTCAACAGATCATATCAGCACAACTCCCTAATGGCAATAAACCTGTCTAGGTGGAGAGAACATCAGCGCACTCATGTCCACACCCAGACACCTACACATACATATATGAACACCTACAGACACTTGCACGCGTCCTGTGTCAGTGATGGAAACATTCTCTTTATGCTTTCTCCCTGCCACTTTACCACCTGGGAATACACTTGCCTCGCACAAGAAAAAGGAAACCAATTTTACGCAGGAAATTACCTCCATACTATCTTCTGGCAAAAGCTTTAGTTAATGTCTCATACACTTAAGCACTGCTAGGTAATGTATTTTTTGTGTCCTGGAGTGCCACTGAGAGTGAAACAGCAGCAGTAATGAGTGCATCCTGAACAATCAGGTAATGCAAAAAACAGTGGTACGAACATACTCGCTCCTTGATACTGATTGCAAAAAGTATTTGTATTTGCTAATAATGTCAGGGATCAGAAAGCACATAATATGCAGGTATGTGGTGCAGTGGGATTCAGTACCTTCTGGTTATACTGGGTGTATGTGCAGAAAGGAGGGGGACTATTTGCACTGATCATTCACAAGAGGAAAACCGTTGTGTATATTTTAAACACTCTAATTCCCTGAAGTACCTCCCCGCTCCCTTGCTATCTCCCTGCTCCTGGTGCACTCATTACTGTTGGAAATGATGCAGTAATACTGAGAGGAGGGGAGTGGGTGGGTGGGAGAGTCAGAGCGATAGACAGATGGGGAGACAGACAGAAAGAAAAAGAGAGAAGGAGAGAGAGAGAGAGAAGGCAAGATCTTGGTGGTATCTGTTTTCCTCAGCTGCTGCCTCTGGCTCTTTTTCCCTCTCATCTCTCCTTATAAACCGTTGAAATATTACAGTTAGGTTTTTGGCCGCATATTGCTGTCTTTTATGCGCAGTGGATGAGATTGCATCTGAATGTATTATGATCCAGAAGTGGTTTGTGTGTGTGAAAATAAACGTGTGGCGTGTCTGTGTGTGGGACAGGATTATGTTACCTCCAAAGACACACCACAGCATTCACATGTAAATAGTATGCAAAAGATGAGGTGAAAGTGTGGAAGCAGATAAATATTCAAAACAAAAAAAAATTTTTTTACCGCTCACACAAAGAAAACCACAGAGTCCCACAGAGTCCCACAGAGTCCCACAGAGTCCCACAGAGTCCCACAGAGTCCCACAGAGCGGGTGGGTGAGGATGCTTTCTTTCATCAGATAAATATTGCACAGTTCAAGGTAAATTGGG